TCTCACAAACATTAATTTTACAGAGATGTCAGAGAAAAATTGAATGCATATAAATATATGCAAATTACATATAGAAGATGATAAATAGCATTAATGGAATAATTTACAATCGTGATTAAAAAATAGTGTTCAAGAGGGAAAGAAAACGAGATAAAGAAAGACAAATAGTTTTAATACAAGGTTAATTGTGTGGAATTTGGGACACCTAAATAGTTTATGGAACTAATCGAGTAGGTGCCCCAAAGTAACTAAGTTTTGCAGAAGGAATACAGTGTTAAATGAACAATTTAGGTTAAAAGTATTTCTTCAAGACCTAACTACAAAAAAAATAATTACATTTCAACTTAAGAATTAGTAATAACTGTCAATAATTGTTGTTTTATGGTTTTACGAAATCTAGAAAATGGAGTAATTTGCTTGATAGTAATTGGTAGTGAGTTCCAGAGGTTGGTACCCTGACGCGCTCGAGCCTGCCTTTCTCGTCAGCTACATGTATTTGCCTGGCGTTTTTGATTGATTCAATGGCTTGTCTACGTCCTTTCTTTTCGGGTAAAGTGATAACGTTGGTTTTGGCTTCTCTACAACTGAGCCAGTTCAAAACCGCTCAATAAATTGGGAAAGTGACAAGCTGTTAGATAATAAGCTAGGACGTAAGAGCTGTTTAATACTCACTGACCTACGCATACCAGCGGAATCCCTGACCATTCCATGTATTCGTGCTCTGAATGAACAATGCACTGTCGTTCTGTACTACCAAGCGGTTCATATCCTTTATTGCATTGCAGTATACAAACCGATAAATAATGCGTGGAGCACTGACCACCCTTGATGACGGCATGAGAAGGAGCGTGGAGGGGTTCACAATGTCGTACTAAGAACAAAGAATAAAGCCAAATTGGATCTAGTTGGCCTGTATTTGACTTTTAGGCTTGCCTTGAGCTTTCTTTTCTTAAAAGTAACAGATATTCTTAGTAAAAACAAAGCTCAATTCATGCTCCCACAGTGCTAAGAACAGGGTTCCTGTGTATGGCATAGGGTTCATTACTCACTATATACAACTTGTTAGTGAGTAGCTTAGCCAATGAGAGAACGGCATTCGAGATAGAACGATAATATATTTATAACAAAACTGTGGATAGAAATGTGTATATGAATTCCGTTTCGTAGATAGCCAGAGTATTCTAAAACCCATTTACAGCTAGTTATTGAAATGCTTCCAGGTCAGTGAGCGGCCAGAATTTTTTGGGCAGGGAGTACAAGAGGCCGCGTATCCGTAGAAGTCTTTATAGGTGCTAACCGGACATACTACAACGAAAAAACAGACAAAGTTAACAGAAACCTTGTATAAAAAATGTAGTTACTGGATATCTTTAGTTTACTGTGAAATATGGGGGAATAGTTTACGAGCAGTAAGTATTAATTGATATAAGATGCACTTGAATTCAAAATTTAAACTTAAATTTTGTTTGTTTTTTTTTTTTTTCTGAATCGTCTGATTTTTATTCTATGAAAGCGATAAATACAAGTTTTAAGTAACTTTTTAGCAGAAAGATTTATTTAATAACCGGCCATACATTGAGATACAGGAGAAGCTCCCAGTTCGTAATAATAGAGAGAATATGTTTCTGCGAACCAATGCAATTGCAGTGTTAATTAAAATAGGGTAAAAGCGCAAAAAAAAACTAAAAACATATACGATAATCTCACAACTTACTGTGGCATGGCGAACCGTGATACCCTACGGGGCAGCTGTGGGAAACTGAAAGAAGAATTGAGAAAAGGAAAGAATACGCTGTCACCTCCGCAATTTTGTACGTCATTTCTTATCGTTTGTCTGGATCAATTGCAAGGTAACATTTCTCGACAAAGCTGAGAAAATCTGATTTTTCTCATTTCCTCTGGAAATATAATTAGTTACAAATAACAACAGGTGCGAAAACAATTTTTTCAAAGCGCAAATTTGAAGTAGAAAGCTGGCAAAATAACTGTGTCAAGTTTGTCAAATGTTTGTCCAAACAGCTGTGAGAAAAAATTTAACCGTAATCTCTTTAATTTAACTAATGAACATTATTTTTAATCATAGATCATGGTGAAAATTACTAGCAAAACTCACTAAAACAGTGTTTATATACAACTATTATTCAGATATTTCCACAGTGAAGTAATCTGCCCAGTCATATTATAAAACATTATTGTATCGTTGCCGTATTACTAATGAAAGTAGTCACAAAAGTAAACAACTGGATTTTTTCGAAATTAACCGATGGCTGAGTGAAGGACTGATGACATCTTTTGCACTTTTCAATGAAATTTTCTACTAACCTCAATTATATATTCTACACTTTAATATGTGTCTTTTTAATGAAAACCATTAGCTAAGCTGCTGTAATTTTTTCATATTCGTATAAACAGGTGCGTAAACCTCCACAAACGACAGTTTCCATAATTGATTCAAAAGCTAGAAAAGTTACTAATAGAGTAAAAATCACACGAAACGCACGAAACGCACTCGATTGGCCTTATAATGAAGACATTTATAATCTACTTGAGCGCGTTTTTCGTAATCTTCCTTTTCCATGCAACCCACGGTAAGTGATTGTATTACATACACCGGAAAAGTTAACGTCTTCGAACATTACATTTTCTGAAATTGTAAGAAATTCATCGCCGTAAACTATTCCAGATTTCCGTTTTTTATTCTAACGCGTTATTTCATGTTGAGATCAATTGATTTTCTTTTCGAGCCTGACAATTCTCTTTAAATGTTATCCCATTTCATCTCTTTTGTTTTTTGTTTTTTTTTTCTGATGTTGCAGTACATCGCTCCAAAACGTATTTAAATTATTCATAAAAACCTCCCGTTTAATAACTGGGACAACAATATAGTTCCAAGTTGAAAGGAAAGGAACGTTTATTTGACTCAATTGGTGTTTTTGTCACTGACAAATAATGGAAAGAAATTGAAGTTGGTCACGCAAGTACCTACGTCCTTATAAGACGAAATATTGGAAAAACGTTTGCAATCGAAGCAATAAAGAAATGTCATATTTTCATAAACATCATAGATGAGCTTCTTTAGCGCAGATTTAATACATGAAGCTTTTTCGGCACCTAACCCTCTATACGCAATACGTTTTCAACACGCGTGAACGTTTTTCAAGTACAACTGATTACCTTATCCTCTTACTCTTATTAGAAATAATTCGACATAAAAAAAAAAACATAATCTACTTTTCACCACAATCTTCAACTTTGTCAAATAGATTTTATTCGTGTTATTATTTCAGGAACATCGTGTCGGATGTTCGACCCCCCAAGGGATGGTATTTTAACCTGCGTGAAAACAAGCAAAGGGAAAGTTTGTGCCCTGGCTTGTAAAGAAGGCTTTGATTTCAGTGAGACTCCAGCCTTGTTTTATGTCTGTGATGGAAGTTGGAGTTTTGTTACCCTTGCTCCTGCAGATTTGTCTGTTAAAAGCTCTCTGGAATGTAAAGGTGAATTATACACATTTATACATTCAATCACAACTCGCATAAGAGCTGCCCCCCTCAATGGGTCTGTCAATAGGTAGCTTAAGCAAACCACGACGATGGCGGCAACGAGAACGTCACCAAACAAAAGGTTAAATGAGTAAAACAATAGCTGTGCACATGCGTTGTAAATCGTTATTCGTTTGCTTGCCGTCCTTTGCAAAACCGAAGAACGGGAAATGACCGGCGACGGCTAATTTTTCGTATTTCCATTTGGAACTGAACGCTGTCATTGCATATTTAGCCTGAGCACGTTTTTAGAGTCACTGGCGTACTGAACAGATCTAAATAATTGAGAATTTCGCTAGCGAATTGTTTAGGCGTCGCCCTCGGCGGCGCCGTTGTCGTTGCTTTAGCTCCCTATTAGATCAGGGTTTGGAACGTTCTCCCCATCTCAGGCCCCCATTTCAGACCCCCCATCTCAGACCCCC